GCCCGCGGTCCCCGCTGTCCCCCGCGGTTCCGGCGAGGCCGCGCCGCGCTGCGCTCCGCTCCCATTGGCTGCGCGCGCCTTTGTGTGGCGGCAGCTGCGGCCCCAGCGCCTTTGAATGTCGAGAGGGGCCGGGAAGGGAGCCTTTCCATGGGCCATCTGTCTCCCCGCCAGCCGCCGGCGCCCGGCCGCCCCCGCACCACGCCGCCGCCGGCCGGCCCAGACGCCCCATCTCGCGCTCGGTGGCAGATTTTCGGAGAGGAAAGGGCACTTTGCCAGCCGCCGCCCCGCCGCCTGCTCGCCCTGGGAGCTCCCTCAGCCCTGGACAGACCTGGCTGGTTCCTTTGCCATGCCAGTGTCCCGGGAGGTGGCCTTGCCATGGCTCGTCCTGACCTTGGCCTGTGAAGCGGGATATTACCCTGGGCTTAACCCCTGGGCTTCCCGCGGCTTTCCTTGGCAGGGGACCCAGCCCTTGGGGACCTCATCTGTCACGCGTAAGCCTGTCCTTCCAGCCTAAGGTAGGTTCCCCAGGGCCTTGGACCTGGGTCATTCGCCCCTACCCCCACCACCCCAAGCCAAGCACTAAGCCCTTTAAACAGCTCTGCCCCTTGTAAGGCGGTCCCCACTTTGTGTGAACAGCAGGGCCATGTCTATGCCTCCACGACTGGCACTAGGGTCCACCCACTAACCCCACTAACTGGTAGGGTCACCCCCTGCCCTTGGCTGCACCAAGGTGGGAAGCAGACCTCAGCTGAGACCAGTTCACACTTGTGGGGCATCCAGCTGCGGCTCGTGCTAATCCTGTTAACGGGGCAATGAGATGCGCTCATTACCGGCCTCCATATGTTACAGAAAGTGAGCCCAGAGGAATCCCCAGACTCGTTCCCCCGTCAACCGGACTAGGGTTGAAGGCAGGGGTGTGTGCGATCCAGCTCTGCTCTAAACACTGCATACACCCCTTCTGAAAGCAGATGGGGGTGGGGGTGCAGCTGGGAAAGGCCTTCTAGTCATCTGTGCCATCCGCGAAGGCCAAGGTGACCCCAGGATGTGGCAGCTCTTGTTCACCAGAGGCAACAGAGGGAGACTGGGGGTCCTTGGTCTGAAGGCGCGTTTTTTATCTGAGCCGATAGCAGGGAAAGGCCTTTCCTCTCCTCAGCTTTGACGGGCCGCTCCCCTCTCACTGCACACCTGCTGCTGGTCCCGGAGCCTGCTGATGGCAGTTACCGAAGAGACTCAGTGCCCCACCGGCAAGTCCTGGAGAGCCAGCCGCTGTTCGGCAGGAGGGCGCAGTGGGCGGCGCCATGCTGTGTGCTCGCCTCTCCCACCTAAGGAGCATGAACCGGCGAGGCCACCTGGAGAGTTCTTTCGGGAGCTTTCACATTGGAAAACAAAAGCAAAAACTCCCTGGTTGCCATGCACGTCCATGAAGACACGCGCCCAGCACAGCATTGAGAACCGGTCCACCGCCCCGTAGAAACTAAGCGCTCCCACGGCACCCCCACACCGCGCACTGCGCGCACCCCCACACCGCGCACATCTGTATACCCACAGACACCACACACATCTGTATACAGACTCAACACACGTCTGTATACATACATGCCACATACACACATCTGACACACCTGTACATGCAGCCACACGTACCTGTATACACGCATGCACCCACCGCATAAACACACGTCTATGTACACACGTGTCACGTACACATGCTGCACATGCCTGTATACATGCACCACATGACACATCTGTATATGTGCGCGCCATGCACACGCACATCTAGATATACATACCCACACCACACCGCACACGCTGCTACATCTGTACACACACCGCACACATGTATATCTGGGTACACACATGCCAGTGCACACGCACGTCTATAGTGACATGTCCATGCCACGCACACCCCACACGTCTGTATATACGCGCCCCACACCTAAGCGAAGTCTCTGTCCCCACGAAGCAGAGATCCCAAAGCGGAGAGTCAAGAAAAGACTATTTCCAGCCCTACAGATGGTGGAAAGGAAGCGGGAGCGGCGCTGAGGAGTGAGAGCAGCTTTGGAGGAGAGCTGGAGGGAAGGTTTCCAGGAGGTGACAGGAAAGATGAGAGCCGCGCTGAAGCCGGGAGGTGCTTCCAGTCCGGAAGGATCCCGGGCGAGGGGGCTGGGGGCCGACAGCTGAGAAGGGAGGCGGTGTCCACCCGCTGAGGGCGCCCGAGGCGCCCGGGGCCACAGCCCAAGCCGTCCACCCCTGCGGGCCACAGAACCACGGCCCAGTCGGAGGAGGGAGTCCTGAGGCGGCATCGGGTTGTGCTCTTAAAATAGAATATTCTCCCTGGTGAGTGAGAAGAGATTAGACGGGCGGGACTGGAGCTGGTGAGACCATGGAGTCGGCCACTTTCCAGGAGCTTGACCCAAAGTCTTTAGGCAAAGAGAAACAGAGCTGCTAGTGGGAATGTAAGTTCTCTTTTGGCATTTCTTGATCTTTTTGTCGTTTTACCTACCTACTTTTCCAGTGTATGCCCCCGCGCCCCGCCCCCATCCCTGTGGTGTGGCTGGAAGAGCTGGGCACTGGCACCCGCAGGGTAGGAGGATTCAAGGGACCTGGAGCGGCGGGCACCCGGGCCACCCCAGGAGACGGGCCTGCTGTGTTTCTTGGTGGGGTGCAGGTCTGGGAGGCCTCCCTGGGCGGGAGTGTGCGGGCGCGGCAGATTTCAGCAGCCTGCAGGTGCCCGGGCCCGTTCAGGCTACAGCTGTTCTGGGTGAAGAGCCTCAGGCCTTGTGCAGCGCCCTCACCCCTGGGTCTCTCCCCTCTCCCACGGTGCGAGCTGGGTGCCTGTTCACGGGCCCCCTATCCAGTGCGGGGCTGGGGCTCAGAAGCCAGCTACTGGTCAGTGACCACGTTAGTCGCTGTAGGGCCTCTGCACTGCACTCCTGGCCCCCCAGCCGGTAGCCAGGCAGGCTGTACCTTTGGGGTTCCAGCCTGGCCAGGAAGTGACCCACAGGGTGCCGCAGACCTCTCCTGTCTCCCCGCTGCTCCCCTCAGCAGTGTACTTCATAGATCCACCTGTTCTGCTCCCCGCTCTGTCTCTGGTGAAGCCTCCCAAACACACCCCCAAGCCTCTGGCCTGTACCCCAGTTCTTTTGCAACATAAGTGACGTAGTTTATTCAACAACCTAAGTCTCTGACTACTGCTTATCCTTGGTCTGCGATTCCAAGTCTGGAAATGTATCCAAAGGCACAAGTATTTGGAGGAAAATATTCCTCACAGTGTCATTTATTATCATTCCTACACGCTGGGTATACCTGCGTGTTTGCACATAGGTCTATCTGGAAATGTGGACATATGTTTCTGCAGGAGCTGGGATCAGCTGTATGTCACTCCCCATTGAGCTTCATTCAATGAAAAGTTTTCTATAAACTCGCAAGAGCCCCCAGAAGCACCCTGCCTGGACTTTGAGCGGTCCCTGGACTCCTGGGTGTCTCGCTAGCAGCTGTGACAGCAGACGCTAGGAGGTGCGAGCCTTCTCACGCACACACAGTGTTACTCATCAAAAAATAAATTATGAAGGTCCATTTCAGCGTAACACCCCATCTCATGCCATCACCCCATTGTGAGTGTCTCGCAGCTCCAGTTCATGCCTGGGAGCAAAAGGGGGTGACTTCATCGCTGACTTTCTGCTCTGCTTGTGCTTCCACTCACTCACTACAGCCTTCTGTGCCCCTCGGACTGAGCGCAGAGGAAACGAGAGATGAGAATAAAGGGCCGTTTTTCTCGCCCTCGGTTTGTGTTGGAGTCCATATGTGCTCTGAGCAGCGAGGGTACAAACATTTGCTGTTTCTTCCTGGAGCTTTTGCAAGTTCACCAGCAGCCAGCCAGCTGAGAGGTCCACCCTCAGTGCTCCCCGCCTCCCTGGGGAGGGTCCCCCTGGCAGGGTGCCCTGTGTTCAGCCACCCGGGACCACTTAGCATCCCCACCAGAGGACAGCCCCCTGCTCAGGGCCAACTGCTCTCAGCGCTGCTGCGGTCCAGCCACTGCAGAGTGGCCCAGAGCTCCACCACCAGGGAGCGGGGCAGGAGGCAGGAGTCCCGTGCCCGAGGAGAGGGTTCTTTGCACCATGGGGAGGAGAACAAATGCCTGCAAAGAAACGTCCTTCCTTCATCTCTTCCACCACAAAGTTTTCAGTAGGCTGGAGACACATGATGAACACAAACCCATGATTAACCCTCTCGGCAATTTCTCCACATCTTGCTTTTAGAATACTTTCGGAATATTTATCCTCCATAGACTTTTGAGACCCCACTAAAATTGAGTCCGCAGGAGGAATCACATTGGCCATCCTGCTACAAAGCCATGTTATAACTGTTCAGACAGCCAGAATAGAGGAGGACCCTTCGTATGTGTTCATATAACAAATATTGTTTGAGCCAGGAGTAAGTGAAACAGATAGAGAAGACCGGATCCTGCCTTATGGAGCCGACAGCCCCCTGGGAATGCAAGACATTAAGAAAGAACTCAGGCCCTCCCTGGTGACACAGTGGGTTACAGCACAACACTAAGAAACTAAAGGCACTTCCGCATGAGTTCGATCCCCCGCCTGCCCCAGAGGTGACCACATGGCATGGCAGACCTCTCCTGACCCGCCCTCTGCTCCCCTCAGCAGTGTGCTTCATCCTTCTGCCTGTTCTGCTCCCCACTCTGTCCCTGGTGAATCCTCTCACCCTCCGCATCTCTGGCCTGTACCCCAGTTCTGTATGAATAAATAAATCTTTAAAAAAAAAAGAACTCAAATATGTTCAAATATGTCTCAAATGATGCACGAAGGAAAATTACAT